CTACACTAATTTATAATATAAAAAAATGGTCACTTAAATCACTATCATAAATATTAGAGTACTTCTCGCAGACACTTTAACATTGGTGACTTTCATCTGGAAGATGACCCAATAATGTAGCTTTGAAAATGATACCTAAATGGATTTATTGGAAAAACATGAGCTTGACACATTCTAAATTTATGAAAATAAGCCAAGAAACTACCTCCCCAGAATACTCCTTATGCCTGTTTAAAAAACAAAACAAACAAAAAAAACCTATAATTCTAAGTAGAAGGGGGAAAAATGCAGAAATGCTTCATATAGTCTGTATAAAGTTTGTGGCCTTAGTGTATGGGCTCATTAAAGGTTTAAAGGATTATATAACACTTTCTATTTTGACCTGTTATGCCAAATTTCTGTTTTGGTGTCTTTGGCTTGCTAATATCATCTATAATGCAAGAATTTTCTTATTTTTTTATTTTTCTGAAATCAACCATATAATTGAATTTTTCAGGTTGCTGAATATTTTATTAAATCTCTGACAGTCAGTAGTTCTCCTTGTGGCTAATGCTGCATTTCACTCAACCTATGGGTAATTTATAAATACTGATGCATGATGCATGACATTTCAAAGTAGCAGGCAATTTTATGTATCTGGTAAGTTATAACTTATAGAAAACTCATGCATATTGAAAGAAGCTTTTCATTTATCAAGTTAATTTAAATTAATATGTCACATTCCTTTCTTTCATAGGCTGCCAAAATGGCAAATTACGCCAAGTTTCAGAAAATTTGTGATCTCCTGTTTGTTATGTTCGCTGTGGTTTTCATCACCACACGACTGGGTATATTTCCTCTCTGGTGAGTATGCCAGTCTTCTTTCAAATAGAGCTACCCCTTCCAGGTAGGCTTTATGAACCATTTTCCTTTTGAATTTCGCTTCAAATACTTAGGAAAGGGTTTAAAGAAAGTGAGGGAGGTACTCAAGAAACAGCTTGATTTTTTTCTAGAAGAGGGGTGCACTCTTTTTTTAAAAAAATGTTATTAGTTTCAAGTATACAGTACATTGGTTAGACATTTGTAAGGTTTATAAAACAAGGATTGCACTCTTTACTAATATTTTCCATAGGATAGTCAGAGAAGGATGTGGCTTCTGTAGGTTCTGAAGCCACAGAAAGTCATCTGCCATTTTAGAGTCCAATCTAGAGTATGAGTCAAAAATCTTACCATGAAAATTGGAATTAATAAAGGAAATATGGCGCTGCAAGGAGTTATCTGCCAGGGATCCCTCCTGTACGGGGACTGGCAGCAGCAGCGTCACTAGGGAACTTGTTAGAAATGCAACCTATTGGGCCCCACCCCAGACTGACTGAATCACAAACTCTGGAGATGGGGCCTGGCAACTTATGTTTTGGTAAGCCTTCTTGATGATTCTGCTCCACATTAAAGTTTGAGAAACGCTATCCTATATAATTCTCCTCATCAGCTATATTTATAGCTAAAGCAGTTGGAAGGTATAACCTAAAACTAATCCCTACAATTCTATATCGCCTCTGAATGTCTGGGTGTGTTTTGTTGAGAGCTAAGAAAACAGTATGACAGATTTTGATGGAATTTGACAATCGGTTCTATTGAAAATAAGTCCACTGTCATTAATCATTTGTTGAACTAGAAAAAAAAGAAGAGTCCTCCATATCACTTAAAGTCTACCATTGATGGAAGATTTTTTTTTTTTCCATTTAGAGAAATTGATTTGAATGGGAAATTAAAGCAATGGAAATGGGAGAAAACTGAGCAGTGACGTGGTACAATAATACCTTGCTTTTCGGCCCCAATAGAAAAATAACAATAATGAAGTTGGGACTTTTAAGTGAGTAACATCTATCACAGGGGTTCCATACACAAATTAATCACACATAAACACACACACACATATACATGCACTCACGCATACATGTACGCACGCACACAGCTTCTCCTTGAGGCCCACAGCCCTTTTTTGTTCACTTATTATGAAAATTATTCCTAAGCAGTGCACTGTGTGTTGGCAACAGGCATTTATAAAACCTCATTATAGTTTTATATGGTTGTAGGTAGGAAACATTGAAGTAGTTTTGAATGAAATGAGTTTGTAATTTTTTCAGGATTGGGGGCTCTTTCAAAATTATTAGCAGAACTAGTGGTAAGAATTTAAATAGAAGAAATTAGAGCAAAATCCAAGAACTGTTTCTCAAAAGAAATATAGAAAGCTTTTTCTACTTAGGATTTCTGAAAACCTGAGTTTTAAAGAAGTAAGCATCACTCTCAAGTACTTTGATTTACTTATTTCTTTTTAAAGATAGATTAAAACAGACATGCAGCTCTTCTCCCTTCTAGCTAATGTGTAAAAAAAGTTCTTCAGGTTCAGATAGCAATGAGTTACTTAGAAAGAACATAGACCCCAGAATATAGAAATTATGTAATGCTACTAATAAGATAATTCATGGATATGTCCTGTCATGATGGCATTAACTAGTTGCTTAGAAAAATCTTTGCGACCAAATGCAAAAGAGTTTATATTGCACATGCCATAGGGCTTCTGCTACCATACCCCTGAACACAGCCACGTTTTTAAAAACGTATCTTGAAGAGAGAAGTATTTTATTGTTTGTAATCCAAGAAATAATTTATGTACCTGCTGCCAGTTTAGTTGTGCATGTAGGGAATAAAATTCTTTTCAGATATGTCTGGTAAATCATGTTAGTGCCTGTATGACCTTTGTTTTGACCTGTTTCAATTACTAGGGTGTAATGAATCTTTTTAGTATTTAAAACTGTAATGTGAATGACAATAACAAATAGCATTTTAAATATTTTTGTTAATACTGTGAAATTATTCAAAAATTCCTTTTAGATTAGGGAATCCTAGAATTGGGAGGGAATCTACGGGTTACCAGCTCCAGAATCTAGTCCCAGCTCCTCCGCCCAGGATAGAAATTCTATCATTTTCCCTGATCAGAAGTATTGCTTTAGAGATCAAGGGAGAAATAGTTTCTTATATGAAACAGAAACCTGGGTTCTTTAAAACTCAGGTTCTCAGAAATCCTAAGTAGAAAATGCTTTCTATAACTTTCTATAACTTTGAAGCTAGAGGTCCTTAATCTGTTTTAAAAATCCCTGAAATTGTATGAAAAACATGTATGTGTTTGTATTTTTTTCCCTGCGGCTCTGGAGGGCCCATGGCTTTATCAGAGTCTCAAAGAAATCTGTGACTCCTTCCTCTCAAAAAAATGGTCTCTGGAAAACAGACTATACCCTGGCATTCTAACTGAAAACTCTTAAGAACATGAAGGTTTCTAACATATCATCTGTAAGTTTTCTCTTCATCGGAAAGATCTTTAATCCCTTCAATTATTCCTGTTTGTTGTTCTGCTTCTTTTGTTTCTCAGAATTCCTCTTGTCATGATGTTCCAAATGTGGACTGGCTGGTACAAAATATAAGAGAACTAAAAACAAGCCTTATTTAGAACTGCATTTCTTCTAATGCAGTTTGCCATTACATTAGCTTTAAGCAGCTTTCACATTGTACTGGTGATGATCTGATAAACAGCTGAACTGCCACCAGACCAGATGTTCCTCATCCTAAATTATTTTGTTTTTATACATTTTTATTTCTAATTATAATTTATTTGTATACCTAATTATACAACTACTTTTATTTCTTTTAGATTTCATCACACTCTTTTCAAATATTCTGTTCATATAACCCCTAATATTAGGGTTTTCTGAACTATATCCAATGCAATATTTATTCCTGAACTATATCCAATGCAATATTTATTCCATGCAAGGTTACTTGCATGTATGCCTTTCATGCTTCCCTCCAACTCATTGAAGAAAATAGGAACTCCCGATATACTACTGAAGGATTTCTTTAGGCTGGCCTCAATGTCTCAACCACCAAGTCTTTCTTTATGGTTTTTCTACTTGTTACTGTCTTATAACTGCTCTCTGTCATCATGCCTGCTATTTCTCCACATTTTTTAAAGATGTAATAAAAGATTTTGTCAAAGGTCTTATGAAAGTCAGGATTTACTCTGTATTTAAGACGTCCTCTGCAAATGTAGAGGCAGGGTGAAAAAAATGAGGCCCATCTGGCGTGACTTGATTTTGGGGGACCTTTGTTGGCTTCTTATTTCTAGGTACTCAGCCCTATATGTTTGATTATCCATCTGCAACAGTGAGCTTACCAGTCGAAAACTTCTGGCCTTTGCCTTTTTCATATTGTTTAAGTGTTCCAATATACTATAATGTATTTAGTGAATTTACTGGGCGCTTACTGTGTAACCAGTACAAGGCTGGGTGGTGAAAATTCAGTTAGACATAGGACTCCATGGGGCACTTACCGTTGAATCCCTAAAGGTCCCTTCTGTAATCTGGTTTATAATTTGGGGGGGCCTTGAGGTTATTTTATGACCATTTACTGGAGGTAAATAATATTTATGTATTGTCAATATTAAATAATTCAATTGAGCTCTGTCAGCTAATAAAGCATTATACTAGATAGGGTGTGTGTGTGTGTGTGTGTGTGTGTGTGTGTGTGTGTGTGTATGTGTGTAATAGTTACTGGCAACTGGGGGTAAGGTCTGGAGGTAGATTGGACTTCTAAGAAGCATTTCAGAGACATTTCTTCTTCAAATATTTCTGCTTCGGCTGGAAGAAGAAACAAAATTATTCTATTTTCCTGCTACTTCGTTTGGTTTTCAATCCATTTACTTTGAAATCACCAGCAATACCTTCCAGGTTCCTCCTGACTACGTTTGTGTTCCCATGTGAGCCATCAGAATTTTTGTATTTGTGGGTTGGATAACACTTGGTTTATTATCTGTTGAGTCTTTGGTTCATTTGTGTCTTTGCCTCACAAAGACAACATATGTGTGAGTAGCCTTTTCAGAATCATGCTCTGCCCAGACTTCTCATTTGGTTACAATATATCTTTCTAGAACAGCACTGTCCAATAGAAATATAATTCAGGCTTCATAGTAATTTTAAATTTTCTAGTAGCCACATTAAAAAAGTAAAAAGGTGACATCCATTTAAATGTTTTATTTAACTCAGTGTGTTCAAAATAATATCATTTTAACATGTAATCCATATTGAAAACTATTAAGATACTTGCATTCTTTTATTACATACTAAAAATCTTCAAAATATGGTGTTTCATGTTACTGCTTCTACTCAAAAGTCTATGTTATTTTAGCCTTTATGTAATAGTTGGACAGTCAATGATTGGATCCTTTTTGAGAGTAAGCCTATCATTGTAAACTATTACCATTTTAATTGATCTGCATCTGTCTTCTGTCAACTCCATTTGTGTGTAATCCCTGAAGTTCCTAACAGTTTCTCATATTTGTAGTTTTCTATTGGCACAGTAGATTGTGCTTGATCTCATTGTAGCATCTATCGCAATGCTACTCAATGATATTTGTTGAGTAATTAGATACTCTTCTTTCTAACTGGTCTCACATCTGTTTTCTTAGTTGAGCTCCTTAAATCGTTGTGAAGTGAATAGGCACAATTTCTCCCTCATTAAACAGGAAAAACTTCATTTAGCCAATGATTTACTCAGTTTCTCTTGACTCTGGTCTCCTGTCATTGGTCCAATTCAGCAAGTACTTAACTAAGTTCCAGTTCTTCCTATAACACAATACTGTCTTCTTTGAGGAGGTCATAAAGCTATTGATGAGATACATTTTTAGTAGTTGTTACATAAAAAGAATCATTTTGAAATGGATTGTCCTTACCATTCTTCCCAGCCAAGATACTATATTGTAAGCATCTTCATCTCTCAACAGACATTGAAATCTGGTAATGAAAAAGACA